GGTGCACCGGTTTCTGTCAAGAACTGCAACGCTGCTGGGCTTTTCATGCTCAACAGTTTTCCATGTGTATCAAGAATGGTCCACCACCCAAAGAACATCCAGCCAACTTGACACAACTGTGGGAAGCATTGGCGTCAACATGGGCCAGCATCGCTGTGGAACGTTTTCGAAACCTTGTAGTCTATGCCCCGACAAATTGAGGCTGTTCTGAGGTCAAAAGGGGTTGCAACTCAATATTAGGAAGGTGTTCCTAATGTTTGGTATACTTTGTGTATATAGAACATTGGTTGTACTCTGTCAGAAGGAGCCAGATATGTGATAAAAAAAGTTTTTGAATAGCATAGTGCCTGATTGTTATTCACATTAGGCTGACCATCACACCATGCACATTCACACACTACGTGAGAGCAGTTTGAAAATGTGTGCCATCAGCAGTCCTTCCATTTTACAGCTGAATTCTGCTGTGCACAGGCTGCTGCTGCATTTGAGTATTTAGAACAGTGTTATTCTAACTTTTTCAGTGGGGACTTCATTTTTTGGGGCAGAACAAAAGGCTAATTGATCATTAGAAAACCCTTTTGCAATTATGTTAGCACAGCTGAAAACTGTTGTGCTGATTAAAGAAGCAATAAAACTGGCCTTCTTGAGACTAGTTGAGTATCTGGAGCATCAGCAATTGTGGGGTTTGATTACAGGCTCAAAATAGCCAGAAACAAATAACTTTTCTGAAACTCGTCAGTCTATTCTTCTTCTGAGAAATGAAGGCTATTCCATGCGAGAAATTGTCAATAAACTGAAGATCTTGTACAACGCTGTGTACTACTCCCTTCACAGAACAGCGTAAACTGGCTCTAACCAGAACAGAAAGAGGAGTGGGAGGCCCCGTTGCACAACTGAGCAAGAGGACAAATACATTAGAGTGTCTAGTTTGAGAAACAGACGCCTCACAGTACCTCAACTGGCAGCATCATTAAAATAGTACCCGCAAAACACCAGTCTCAACATCAACAGTGAAGAGGCGACTCCGGGATGCTGACCTTCTAGGCAGGGTTGCAAAGAAAAAGCCATATCTCAGACTGGCCAATAAAAAGAAAAGATTAAGATGGGCAAAAGAACACAGACACTGGACAAAGGAAGATTGGAAAAAAGTGTTATGGACAGACGAATCGAAGTTTGAGGTGTTCGGATCACAAAGAAGAACATTTGTGTGACGCAGACCAAAAGATGCTGGAGGAGTGCTCGATGCCATCTGTTAAGCATGGTGGAGGCAATGTGATGGTCTGGCGGTGCTTTGGTGGTGGTAAAGTGGGAGATTTGTACAGGGTAAAAGAGATCTTGAAGAAGGAAGGCTATCACTCCAATTTGCAATGCCATACCCTGTGGACGGCGCTTGATTGGAGCCAATTTCCTCCTACAATTTCCTGTTGTTTTTAATTCCACTGCTTTGCTTTATCTTGGCCAGGTCGCAGTTGTAAATGAGAACTTGTTCTCAACTAGCCTACCTGGTTAAATAAAGGTGAGAACAAAAAACGTTTGTTTTATTTACAGCCTCGAGTCTTCTTGGGTATGACGCTACAAGCTTGGCACATCTGTATTGGGGAGTTTCTCCCATTCTTCTCTGCATATCCTCTCAAGCTCTGTCAGGTTGGATGGGGAGCGTTGCTGCACATCTATTTTCAGGTCTCTCCAGAGATGTTCGATCAGGTTGAAGTCCGGGCTCTGGCTGGGCCACTCAAGGACATTCAGAGACTTGTCCCGAAGCCACTCCTGCGTTGTCTTGGCTGTGTGCTTAGGGTCATTGTCCTGTTGGAAGGTGAACCTTCGCCTCAGTCTGAGGTCCTGAGCGCTCTGAAGCAGGTTTTCATCAATGATCTCTCTGTACTTTACTCCGTTCATCTTTCCCTCGATCCTGACTAGTCTCCCAGTCCCTGCCACTGAAAAACATCCCCACAGCATGCTGCCACCACCATGCTTCACTGTAGAGATGGTGCCAGGTTTCCTCCAGATGTGACGCTTGGCATTCAGGCCAAAGAGTTCAATCTTGGTTTCATCAGACCAGAGAATCATGTTTCTCATGGTCTGAGTCTCTGTAGGTGCCTTTTGGCAAACACCAAGCTGGCTGTCATGTGCCTTTTACTGAGGAGTGGCTTCCGTCGGCCACACTACCTATAAAAGGCCTGATTGGTGGAGTGCTGCAGAGATGTACTTCTGGAAGGTTCTCCCATCTCCACAGAGGAACTCTAGAGCTCTGTCAGAGTGACTATTGGGTTCTTGGTCGCCTCCCTGACTAAGGCCCTTCTCCCCCGATTGCTCAGTTTGGCTGGGCGGCCAGCTCTAGGAAGAGTCTTGGTGGTTCCAAACTTCTTCCATTTAAGAATGATGGAGGCCACTGTGTTCTTGAGGACCTTCAATGCTGCAGACATTGTTTGGTACCCTTCCCCAGACACAATCTTGTCTCGGAGCTCTACAGACAATTCCTTCGGCCTCATGGCTGGGTTCTTGCTCTGACATGCACTGTCAACTGTGGGTCCTTATATAGACAGGTGTGTGCCTTTCCAAATCATGTCCAATCAATTGAATTTACCACAGGTGGACTCCAATCAAGTTGTAGAAACATCTCAAGGATGATCAATGGAAACAGGATGCACCTGAGCTCAATTTCGAGTCTCATAGCAAAGGATCTGAATACTTATGTAAATAAGGTATGTTTTTTAATAAATTTGGAAACATTTCTAAAAACCTGCTTTTGCTTTGTCATAGGGTATTGTGTGTAGATTGCGGAGGATTTGTAATTTTAAAAAATCTATTTTAGAATAAGGCTGTAACGTAACAAAATATGGGAAAAGTCAAGGGATCTGAATACTTTCAGAAGGCAGTGCAAAGCTGTCATCATGGCAAAGGGTGGCTATTTGACTAATATATTTTGATTTGTTAAACACTTTTTTGGTTACTACATGATTCCATGTGTTATTTCATAGTTTTGATATCTTCACTATTATTCTACAATGTAAAGAACAGTAAAAATAAAGAAAAACCCTTGAATGAGTAGGTGTGTCCAAACTTTTGACTGGTAGTGTATGTAACGGGCTCAAATATGGTTGTAATGGTGAACAATTCTGACATTAAAAAGGGCAAGACGAGGCAGCAAGAAACAGCTGGGGAGATGTCTATATTTTGTCTAGAAGATGATGTGAGCAACAGGCCTCCAGGTACTCTTAATATGAAACCAATTTCCTCCATCAGACATACGCCCCCCCACAGATATGAGTCATACATCTAAATCTCTTCAAAGGCAGAGGAGCATGGTCCTCACTAACAATATATACCCAGACAATCGGGTCATTAGATTTACTCTTGCAGATTTTTTTGTTTTTACCTGACTAAATTAGTGTTTTACTCAGAAACATGTTGACTACAACATTTTCATTTCTGGCAACCTCAGGCAGCATTTACACAGGCTGCCCCATTATGGGCAAAAGAGCTGATCTAATTGGTCAAAATACAAATTATTAGAAAAATATCAGAATTGGGCTTGCTGTGTAAACGCAGCCTCAGAGGCACCCTGTTAACCAATTTAGACTTATAATGGTGACAACTACCTCCATATTGTGAGCTCCATTCATACAGATGTGTATACAAAACATGATAAAATAGCATGATTGATAAGATACAAATCACATGTTCAATTAAAGCATGCTTAGCACAGTCAGATGGACACTACCAACCAATAGTATTCCAAGGACACCGTCTGATGCTAAATTATTATGTGCCGCAGCAGTTTGGACTGCTGGAAACCTTCAGTAGAGGAATGCCTTCAAGCCATTCACTGATAGAAATCCAAATGGTTGACTGGCTGCACAGCCTCATCAACATTCATATATTCAGGACAGGGAAGTAATCACACCTGAACTTAGGACTCGCTTGAATCTTATGCAGACACTGACTGCATAATAAAATCACCTCTACCTCATTCTCTCAACCAAGAGCCATGTACAGATGCAACACAAACCTCACTCTAAAATTGCCTTCAGTCACCTATCAGAAAGAACATATGGCTAGGTGGGCATAAACCGTCATAACACACTGCAATATTGGATGACCAGAAGGAAATTCAATGCAAAATACAGGCAGGTAAAAGTGTAAGAGTATTTGGGCTGTGAATAAACAGGGCAGTCATTTTTGTTCTCGCCTTAGAATGTTTCCAGACCTCTATCATCCAAATCACACTGGGCCATTTTCCATTTCAGCATAAGGTATTTGGTTTTAAAGTGCTCTCTCTTAGACTCACTGCCATTTTGAATTTGGGCCAACACTGGCCTTCTATATAACCACATTGCTTTGACTGAGTCTTAAAATGGCAGCAGTTCAGAGTGGATGTCATGTTAACTCTGGACTGTAGCATTAAAAAGGTTCGGAGCCGAGTGAAAACACTGCAATAGTCTTCAATGGGAATGCTAATGACAACATTGCAAAGCTGATCCAGAATCCTTCATACTGAAGGGGTGATAATTGGATTTGACAGAGGTTATTTGTTATACAACTGTGTAAAGAATTTGAGATGTATTAACTATAGAACAAATAATGAATTATTCATTTATTATGGATAACAATAAAAATTAGTATTAAGAAATGATCCATTTCTATTGATAGAAAATCAGTTACATACAACCTATTAAACATTTATATTTCAAGTGACAAAATAATTCCCTTGTATGATCAACTTCTAATTGATCAGCTTAGTGCATTTCAGCCCTCAAAATTAGGACATTTAAGTCAGTTCACAGTAAGTGAATTTTCCAGTGCCCTCTAAGATTCAGACAGATAAGAGTGAAGTCTAATTAAGAATAAATTGCTACACTTTATTACAAGGAACGTAGGAGTGGACAATTAAAATATATTGAAAAATGAATAACAAAACACTGACAAAAACACAAACAGATGAAAGGACTATCCTACAGCAGAGGCTAAGTTCTTGCATGATTTGTCTATACTAGCCCACCTTAAGACTCTTCCCTGATGGGCGTACATCCAGAGAAAAAGCTGTTCTGGAAGCTAGTAAGGGCTCGTTTCTTCTTCTTCAAGAAGCTGGCCGTGTTCCTCTCTTCATCCTCCTCTTCATCATCATCATCCTCCTCAGCAGAGACAGACTTCCTCACAAGCTATAAGAATACAGCAAGGAAGATTTTTCAGCACTCTAAATAAGGACATGATCTGAAATACCCAATACCCACTTAAAGTGCAGCTCAGTGTAAAATAATATCACCACACCAGATTAATTACCAACTCAACCATAACACTACCCAAGGCATCTTGACACTTAAACAGTGCTCTTTTGGAAGAGAGTGTGATGAGTCTGTTACGGGTATGATGTCACCACCCTTCTCGATTACAACCATTGAGACCATTGTTGATGGTATAGAGAAGCCTACCTTGGTGGGAGTGACACAGGGTGGTTTAAAGAAGGTGGCGTCCCCAGAGCTAATGGCTGTGGGGTCTTGAGGAATAAAAACGGAATCTTTGGACACATCGTCTGTGACTTCGCTAGAGTCCTGCTTTTAGGAAGAGAGGAAAATGATTATGAAAAATAAGTGCACAATCAATGAAACATTCTATTGAGTGTAGGGAGACTATGTAGTATACAACAAAGGGGCTTTTTCAACTTACTATACTGGACGTCTGGTAGCCCATGTTACGACACTTCTCATGGTCACACTGGCAGTTCTCCCCACAGGTCATCTTTCCCTTACGGCACCGGCACAGCTTGTTGCCACAGCGACCCTTACAGGCACACTTAACAAATATACAGATGTGCAAACTTTTAACAACACTGCAAATGCATGATAATAGTGATCTGACCATCTCTAAACTGACAGTGTTGCCTTTCTCACAAAATCATTTAAATATACACCATGTCTATGTTCTCACCCCTGTTGCCTTGGGTTTCTTGACGTTGGAGTTCTTTCTGTTACAGCCTTTCTCATTCTTCTCTTGGCACCACTCCTCCTCCTCCTCCTCCTCCGAGACAGACTCCAGCTCCTCCATGTCGATGGCCATCTCCAGGGGAGCCTTGGCTGTAGTGAAACGCCGGCCTTTAGGCTGCAGGAGGTAAAAAACACCACCAGTGAGATGGTGCAGCCTCCCAGCACTGGCCTAGGTCAGGGTCACCTTCCCCTAGACTCATATAGGGGTCATTTTCACTCTAACAGTTGGATATGAAACAGACAGTGGTAAGGAAGGATGTCAGTGGCTTACCTTTGGCGGAATGTACTCAAAGGAGTCGTCTGGGGACTGAGTGGATGCTGGCAGGACGTTGTTGATCTTTTTCCCACTGGCCAACTGGAGCAGTGTTAGTTTCTGAGAACAGAGCAAAAGTTGCTTGATATGGACAGTTTCAACAAATAGTAGACCTTAAATGTTTAGCGCAATGGGTGTGAGAAAAGCGATTTACAAATTAAATGAATTATTATTATTATTATAATAATGTTAACTGTAGACCTTTGTTCTTGTATATAGCTTAGAATGTTCTATTGTCCTTGTACATGCCCATCTGTGTATTTACCTGTTGGTATTGTTCATTGTCGTCCAACAGCCTCTGGTTTTGCTCATTCAATTTCTGCATCTTTTCAATTTCATCCTCCTGCAGAGACAGATTTTTTTTTGGAGGGGGTTAGAACCTTTATTCACCCTGATCAGTCTCTGGCAGTTTTGGTTTCAACCTCAACACTGAGCTGAACTTTTAGTGAAGTCAACCTACATGGACAATGAGGATTAATAGTAGAAACAAGTGCATTTTACCTGACTGACTGTATGACTATGATGAACATTCCTCCAACATATCAGTGTGCACAGTAGCTGAGAGGACAGTGTGACAGACCTGGAACTTGAGGCGCTGCAGAAGCTCCCTCTCCCGTTTTGAAGTCTCCTCCTCCTGCTTATTCTCCATTGACTTGCTCTCCTTGCTCTGCAGCTGGCCCAGGAGGTAGAGGACCTTCTCCTGGTGTCTCTGCTCCAACTCCACCAGGTGGTGCTGGTGCTCCATGTCCATGGTGGACATCAGCTTCCTCTCATCACACAGAGTCTTCTGCAGGTCCAGCACATTGCCCTTCTCCTGCTTCAGCTCACTCTCCAGCTTAGAACTGGCCGTTTTGGCAGACACCAACTGTGGAGGTGGTGACATTTTTGGTTGTCATGTATTTTGTCAGTAAACATTAGCTTACAAGGTAGGCTAATAGGCAGAGAATAACATGCTTTTCAAAACATTTAGAATTTGATTTGTGAGACTAAAAAGCATTCAGTTCAACGATATGCGAATAAGCGTATGTCTCACCTCTGACATGAGGACCTTGAGGGCACACTTGGCCTCCACTATATTATTGATGTTGTCCCAGCGCTGCTTCAACCGCCCCTCATTGTCTGCATCCAGAACCTTCTGCTGTAGGTCAGCTATCTGGGCACTCCTAAGATGAAATCAATGGAACATCACATGTGAATGTGTGTCTATAAATGCACATGGATGCGATTCACCTGACCAAATGTAAATACTTGATCACATTTTATGCCAATCAATCACATATCATTATTCTGATGTCCTCATTAAAAAAAACGAGTTCTTAAGGACTTGCATCTGGCAGCATTCACAATACCCTATCAACAGGAACTAACAATGAACAGATGGGAAGGCGCTTTGGAGCAATGCCTTACTATGACAACATTTCTCCAGGCAAGCAAAGGAGAAAAGGGTCTGGAAAAATGCATAGCAATGCAACTAAAAGACAAATGATCTGGATACCCTTTTTTATCAGTGGAGTCATGAAAAACACCCAAATGCATTAGCAGTAAGGGGAAGTCAATGTGAGTGTTAGGTTTGAAGGCATCCCTCAGCTGTGGAGGTAATGGGTAAGGTCTGTACTAGTCAGACTCACCTGAGGTTTATCTCCGTCTCCAGGTTGTCCACCTGTTTACTGAGAGACGCTTCCAGCTCTCCCCGACTCTCCAGCTCGGAGATGATGAGGGTCCGACGCTGTGGGAGTACAGGGAGAGAGAACACACAGTAACAACAGTTAACTTCTGTAGAGAAACAAAGAGTCATCATTTCGTCATGTAGCCTAGCGGTGGAAATTTCCACTGTATCCTCATTTACTAAAAGCTCAAGATTCTCATTGATCTCTTTAAGAGCGCAACGTCACTCACCCTGACTTTGGCAGCGGGCCGCTCCCCTGCCTCCATCTGCTGTTTGAGCTGGGAGATCTCCTCTGCCAGGATCTTCCTGTCCTCCAGCAGGTCCTGCAGGTGGCGCCGTGCCTCCCCTGTACTCACCAGCACCTCCACCTCGTTCAGGAGCCAGGTCTGCTCTCAGACACACACAGTTCAGATTCAGGTCACAGCACACATTACTCACTCGGTCATTGATACATACAGTTGATGTCGGAAGTTTACATACACTTAGGTTGGAGTCATTAAAACTTGTTTTTCAACCACTCCACAAATTTCTTGTTAACAAACTATAGTTTTGGCAAGTCGGTTAGAACATCTACTTTGTGTATGACAAGTAATTTTTCCAACAATTGTTTACAGACAGATTATTTCACTGTATCACAATTCCAGTGGGTCAGAAGTTTACATACACTAAATTGACTGTGCCTATAAACAGCTTGGAAAATTCCAGAAAATGATGTCATGGATTTAGAAGCTTCTGATAGGCTAATTGACATCATTTGAGTCATTTGGAGGTGTACAGTGAGGGGAAAAAAGTATTTGATCCCCTGCTGATTTTGTACATTTGCCCACTGACAAAGAAATGATCAGTCTATAATTTTAAATGGTAGGTTTATTTGAACAGTGAGAGACAGAATAACAACAACAAAATCCAGAAAAACGCATGTCAAAAATGTTATAAATTCATTTGCATTTTAATGAGGGAAATAAGTATTTGACCCCTCTGCAAAACATGACTTAGTACTTGGTGGCAAAACCCTTGTTGGCAATCACAGAGGTCAGACGTTTCTTGTAGTTGGCCACCAGGTTTGCACACATCTCAGGAGGGATTTTGTCCCACTCTTTGCAGATCTTCTCCAAGTCATTAAGGTTTCGAGGCTGACGTTTGACAACTCGAACCTTCAGCTCCCTCCACAGATTTTCTATGGGATTAAGGTCTGGAGACTGGCTAGGCCACTCCAGGACCTTAATGTGCTTCTTCTTGAGCCACTCCTTTGTTGACAATGACCAAAAACACACGGCCAAGGCATGCTGGAATACCCATCCACGACCCATTTTCAATGCCCTGGCTGAGGGAAGGCGGTTCTCACCCAAGATTTGATGGTACATGGCCCCGTCCATCGTCCCTTTGATGCAAGTTGTCCTGTCCCCTTAGCAGAAAAACACCCCCAAAGCATAATGTTTCCACCTCCATGTTTGACGGTGGGGATGGTGTTCTTGGGGTCATAGGCAGCATTCCTCCTCCTCCAAACACGGCGAGTTGAGTTGATGCCAAAGAGCTCCATTTTGGTCTCATCTGACCACAACACTTTCACCCAGTTCTCCTCTGAATCATTCAGATGTTCATTGGCAAACTTCAGATGGTCATGTATGTGCTTTCTTGAGCAGGGGGACCTTGCGGGCGCTGCAGGATTTCAGTCCTTCACGACGTAGTGTGTTACCAATTGTTTTCTTGGTGACTATGGTCCCAGCTGCCTTGAGATCATTGACAAGATCCTCCCGTGTAGTTCTGGGCTGATTCCTCACCGTTCTCATGATCATTGCAACTCCACGAGGTGAGATCTTGCATGGAGCCCCAGGCCGACGGAGATTGACAGTTCTTTTGTGTTTCTTCCATTTGCGAATAATCGCACCAACTTTTGTCACCTTCTCAACAAGAGCTCTTGTAGCCCATTCCAGCCTTGTGTAGGTCTACAATCTTGTCCCTGACATCCTTGGAGAGCTCTTTGGTCTTGGCCATGGTGGAGAGTTTGGAATCTGATTGATTGATTGCTTCTATGGACAGGTGTCTTTTATACAGGTAACAAGCTGAGATTAGGAGCACTCCCTTTAAAAGTGTGCTCCTAATCTCAGCTCGTTACTTGTATAAAAGACACCTGGGAGCCAGAAATCTTTCTGATTGAAAGGGGGTCAAATACTTATTTCCCTCATTAAAATGCAAATCAATTTATAACATTTTTGACAAGCGTTTTTCTGGATTTTGTTGTTGTTATTCTGTCTCTCACTGTTCAAATAAACCTAGACTGATCATTTCTTTGTCAGTGGGCAAACGTACAAAATCAGCAGGGGATAAAATACTTTTTTTCCTCACTGTACCTGTGGATGTATTTCAAGGCCTACCTTCAAACTTAGTGCATCTTTGCTTGACATCATGGGAAAATCAAAATAAATCAGCCAAGACCTGTAATTAAACTGAAAAGACCATCCTTGGGAGCAATTTCCAAACGCCTGAAGGTACCACGTTCATCTGTACAAACAATAGTATGCAAGTATAAACACCATGGGACCACGCAGCAGTCATACCGCTCAGGAAGGAGACTTGTTCTGTCTCCTAGAGATGAACGTACTTCGGTGCGAAAAGTGCAAATCAATCCCAGAACAGCAGCAAAGGACCTTGTGAAGATGCTGGAGGAAACGGGTACAAAAGTATCTATATCCACAGTAAAACGAGTCCTATATCGACATAACCTGAAAGGCCGCTCAGCAAGGAAGAAGCCACTGCTCCAAAACCACCATAAAAAAGCCAGACTACGGTTTGCAACTTCACATGTGGACAAAGATCGTACTTTTTGGAGAAATGTCCTCTGGTCTGATGAAACAAAAATAGAACTGTTTGGCCATAATGACCATCGTTATGTTTGGAGGAAAAATGGGGTACCTTGCAAGCCGAAGAACACCATCCCAACCGTGAAGCAGAGGGGTGGGCAGCATCATGCTGTGGGGGTGCTTTGCTGCAGGAGGGACTGGTGCACTTCACAAAATAGATGGCATCATGAGGAAGGAAAATGATGTGGATATATTGAAGCAACATCTCAAGACATCAGTCAGGAAGTTAAAGCTTGGTCGCAAATGGGTCTTCCAAATGGACAATGACCCCAAGCATACTTCCAAAGTTGTGGCAAAATGGCTTAAGGACAACAAAGTCAAGGTATTGGAGTGGCCATCACAAAGCCCTGACCTCAATCCTATAGAACATTTGTGGGCAGAACTGAAAAAACGTGTGCGAGCAAGGAGGCCTACAAACCTGACTCAATTACAACAACTCTGTCAGGAGGAATGGGCCAAAATTCACCCAACTTATTGTGGGAAGCTTGTGGATGGCTACCCGAAACGTTTGACCCAAGTTAAACAATTTAAAGGCAATGCTACCAAATATAATTGAGTGTATGTAAACTTCTGACCCACTGGGAATGTGATGAAAGAAATAAAAGCTGAAATAAATAATTCTCTACTATTATTCTGACATTTCACATTCTTAAAATAAAGTGGTGATCCTAACTGACCTAAGACAGGGAATTTTTACTAAGATTAAATGTCAGGAATTGTGAAAAACTGAGTTTAAATGTATTTGGCTAAGGTGTATGTAAACTTCCGACTACAACTGTACATAATACACAGCGACAGCACTCATTGAAACCACACACAATCACTCAGACCACAGCATGCAGATTCATATAACACATTATGGTAATCATTTCCTTGCTTGCAAACCAGGACTTCTCACACTCAAAACTGATCAAATAACTCACAGTACACCAACACATACAGAATCAAACAAAGGTGACCAGACCTTCACTCTCCCGGCTGCTCCCTCCATCCCTCTGTATTGGACGTCCTTTCGTTTCTCTGCCACCTCACTCCTCTTCTGCAGGGCATCCTTCAGACGCTTATTGGCTGCTGCAGCCTGAAGGAGAACACCCGCAGAGTTAGAAATATCTCTCCGTACTTCCAGCTAACAACCATTAAAGAATTGACACAAAACACTTTTTCCTGGTCGATTAGGTCTGCAGATGAAAACAGAAGCATGGTGTACTAGACATAGGCCTCACCTCCTCAGTTTTACGACGCAGGACATTAGCCTGCTTCTGGAAGTCACTCTCAAGCTTCACCATCTGAAACTGACGTTTACGGTCCTGAGAGCGAGGTGAAAAAAACAAATCAATCTTAACCACATGGAAATGAACGTGGTAAACAGTGTGTCTTATGTATGGATTATGGACACACACACCTTCTCCTTGAGCTGAAGAACCTCCTTGTCCTTCTTGTTCTTCCACACTCTGAACTTCTCAGAGTCCTCCTTCATCTGCCTCATCAGCTGTACACGCTGACTCTTCATAGCCTACAGGGAAAGAGAGCAGACAAACAGGGAAGCCATCAACAACCACGTCTTAGATTACCATCATTAGACCGAATTCAAGTTTTTAGATTCAGATGACCATCAACTGAAAACCTCTCATTGTCCTGAAATCCTGCTGATTAGGTCAGTCACTGGCATATTCACAGGACACAGTATATACGCAGTGTCGTGACACACCTGAGGCAAGCACCCGGTCATACCTGGATCTCATGGTTGAGCTTGGCCACGTTGCGGACAGAGGACTCTTTGAGCTTGAGGAGCTTGGACTGGTCATGGAGCTTCTTCTTCATGTCTGTGATCTGACCCTCCAGCTCCTGCAGACGCTTCCTACGCTGTTCACTCAGCCTGGTGGACAGATGGAGAGAGAGGGAATAGAGACAGGGAAATTACTGATGATTCCATTCTAAATGCAGAGGAATGTTTATACTAAACATACAGTATGAAAATGTATGCACTCACTAACTGTAAGTCGCTCTGGATAAGAGCGTCTGCTAAATGACTAAAATGTAAATGATTACACACCAAGCTCATGGCTCTTATGAAGGAGACTCTTGCAACAGATATCATATCAATTCAATACACAGCCTGAACATAAAGATGCTGTAATATCCTTGTTTGAACCCCACCAATGAGGCCAGGTGCCTTACTTAGCCTGATTGACGTCCTTCTTGGCAGAGTGGAGAGCCAGGATGAGGTCCTCCTTCTCCTTCTGCAGAGAGCCCACTGATGTCTGCAGACTCTTGATGTTATTCTGGATGGGAACCATCAATGAAGAGTTAAGATTCAAATGTTGCTCCACCAGTTCAGTTGGAAGCAGCCTGTCAAAAACCTTCCTAGTGGATAAGAATCAAAGTGCTGTGCTGGTGCTGCCTCCCCTGTTTCAGCCCTCTCAACCTCCATTACAGCTAACCCATATTTTCTCTCCCATCTGTCATCTCCAGCCCTACCTGGTGTTCAGTCTGCATAGGCTCCAGGTGGCTGTCGTTCTGGCACATCCTCCGGACAAACTCCTCCTTTAGAGCCAGAACGTTGTTGAGCTCAATCAGCTCCTTGGACATTTGGGCCTGGCGCAAGGCATGCTGGGTAGTGAAGCCCTCTGTAGAGTCTTTGTCAGCATCAGCCTGTGTAGGGTGGGGAAGAGGATGTATATTTGTATGACAACAAAACACACCCGTTTCAGACAACATACCTGTTGTACAAAACCCACAAACATGTACAACAATTCTAAAGAATCAATGAAAATGCAATAATCCCAAAATGAGATGCATGTCAGGATGTCTTCAGGAAACAACAGCCTTGCAGAAGAGTCCATCTGCAGCACAGACAGCCTTCTGCATTAGATGAGAAGTTCTAGATGACCAGAGACTTACAGAAGGGGATCCATCAGTTGGGGTCTCGTTGCCGCTGCCTGACCCATGAGGGCTGTCATCTCCGTCAGCCCCACAGTCTGCAGCCAATGCCTCTATGCTGGCAGCAAGGCCAGCACTCTCATCCTGGAGGAACAAGAGCAGATATTATTTCCCAGACATGATGCAAAGCAGCTTCTTATTATTGGATTGAAATATGGTGTAGGGAACTAAAATATCCAGCCATTCAAATGATAGTGTTACACGTGCAATGTGTGTAATTAAACTGAAAATAAATCAAGTGTCCGTTATCTTTATGATTAGCATGATCAATACGCTGTGAACGTGGCGTCACCCTACGTCATACTTCCGGGATCAGTCCCCTAATATTTGGAATGGGCATGACGATTAAATAATGACATTCGTGAAAACGCGGTAATTTAAGATACATACAGTGCATTCGGAAAGTATTCAGAACCCTTGACTTTTTCCACATTTTGCTACGTTACAGCCTTATTCTTAAATAGTCCCCCCCCCTCAATCTACACATAACACCCCATGACAAGGCAAAAACAGGTTTTTAGAAATTGTTGCAAATTTATTAAAAATAAACAGAAATATCACATTAACATAAGTATTCAGATCCTTTACTCAGTACTTTGTTGAAGTACCTTTGGCAGCGATTACAGTCTCGAGTCTTCTTGGGTATGACGCTACAAGCTTGGCACACCTGTATTTGGGGAGTTTCTCCCATTCTTCTCAGCAGTTCCTCTCAAGCTCTGTCAGGTTGGATGGGGAGCGTCGCTGCACAGCTATTTTCAGGTCTCTCCAGAGATGTTCGATCAGGTTCAAGTCCGGGCTCTGGCTGGGCCACTCAAGGGCATTCAGAGACTTGTCCTGAAGCCACTCCTACGTTGTCTTGGCTGTGTGCTTAGGGTCGTTGTCCTGTTGGAAGGTTAACCTTCTCCCCAGTCTGACATCCTGAGCGCTCTGAAGCAGGTTTTCATCAAGGATCTCTCTGTACTTTGCTCCGTTCATCTTTCCCTCGATCCTGACTAGTCTCCCAGTCCCCGCCGCTGAAAAACATACCCACAGCATGATGCTGCCACCACCATGCTTCACCGTAAGGATGGTGCCAGGTTTCCTCCAGATGTGACACTTGGCATTCAGGCCAAAGAGTTCAATCTTGGTTTCATTAGACCAGAGAATCTTGTTTCTCATGGTCTGAGAGTCTTGAGGTGCCTTTTGGCAAACACCAAGCAGGCTGTCATGTGCCTTTTCCTGAGGAGTGGCTTCCGTCTGGCCACTCTACCATAAAGGCCTGATTTGTGGAGTGCTGCAGAGATGGTTGTCCTTCTGGAAGGTTCTCCCATCTCCATAGAGGAACTCTAGAGCTCTGTCAGAGTGACTATCGGGTTCTTGGTCACCTCATTGACTAAGGCCCTTCTCCCCCGATTGCTCAGTTTGGCCGGGCAGCCAGCCCTAGGAAGAGTCTTGGTGGTTCCAAACTTCTTCCATTTAAGAATGATGGAGGCCACTGTGTTCTTGTAGTGGTCCTCTGTAGCTCAGCTGGTAGAGCACGGCGCTTGTAACGCCAAGGTAGTGGGTTCGATCACCGGGACCACCCATACACAAAAATGTATGCACGCATGACTGTAAGTCGCTTTGGATAAAAGCGTCTGCTAAATGGCATATTATTTATTTATTTATTTATTCTTGGGGATCTTCAATGCTGCAGGCATTTTTTGGTACCCGTCCCCAGATCTGTGCCTCGACACAATCCTGTCTCGGAGCTCTCCGGACAATTCCTTCGACCTCATGGCTTGGTTTTTGCTCTGACATGCACTGTCAACTGTGGGACCTTATATACACAGTTGTGTGCCTTTCCAAATCATGTCCAATCAATTGAATTTACCACAGGTGGATTCCAATCAAGTTGTAGAAACATCTCAAGAATGATCAATGGAAACAGGATGCACCTGAACTCAAATTCGAGTCTCATAGCAAAGGGTCTGAATACTAATGTAAATAAAGTATCATTTTTTTTATTTTTATACATTTGTTAACATTTCTAAAAACCTGTTTTCGCTTTGTCATTATGGGGTATTGTGTAGATTGATGAGGGAAAAAATTATTTCATCAATTTTAAAATAAGGCTGTAACGTAACAAAACGTGGAAAAAGTCAAGGGGTCTGAATACTTTCCGAATGCACTGTATAAAATTATTTTTTGTGTTTCCGGATGAATTTACTTCTGCCAGATGCCTTTTAGGACATTTTTGCACTGAAGACCACTGCGCAACGTTTTTGCCTATTGAAGAGCATTCAAAAAGCCTACAAAATAAAATAAAAATCAACAACGCCACTTCCTGGAAAATTCTGCGTCACTTTCATAGTGTATAAAGTAATAGCATTGCACAGCAACAGCTTACCTACAATTGAATGCAGACATTGTTCGCTAAACACATAGAAGGGACTGAATGCAGTCAGTCATGCAGTGGTAGATCCAGCCTTGTGGCTTATTAGAGCTCTCTCGTCTGGCAGTACCTGGAGCTGCAAGATGACGTGCTGCAGATTCTGGATCACTTCCACATTCTCCTTCAGCTCCTGGTCCTCCAGAGTCTCCATCACCCTCTGCAGGTCCACTTTACACCTAAACGATAAGCCTTATATTTTAACACAAATAATTCTGGTGCTAAATGACCTATAAGGACAATGAAGGCAATGAGCATAATGCATAAGTTCAGACGTACGCTGCATGCTGTTTCAACTCTTCCAGTTTGCTTTGCAACTTCTCATTTGCTTGCTCAGTCTGTGGGTGGAGTGACAAAAAAAGTATGGCACATGACAATCATTGGTAATATCTCCAAATATTTGAAATTGTCAGTCAGCATTGTTGTGTGATGTTGGTATGGCCTGCGGTATGACAGACCCAGTCCAAGACCAGTGCAGGTCCTTACCATGATGATCCTCTCAAACATCAGGGCAGTCTGGCCTGCTGCCTCACTCAGCGCACGGCTCAGCTTGTTGTTCTCAACCTGCAGGGCACGGGTCCTCTCCAGGATCTTTGACACGTTCTCTGCTGGCTCAGTCCTTTTTCAGAGAAGGGATGGAAGGAGTCAGTGAGATACTTGTTGGTAGTATTTTTTTATTCATTATTTATAAAGGAAATTACATTTTTTAAGCTCTCAATATGGATGTTCGAGTAGTGCTATCTGGGACCCTTGAGACGTCCTTACCCTAAACCTAACCATTTTAAAATACACCTTCAATGGGGTAGAGATGTCCCAAGGATCACAGATAGCCAGGACCATGGATGTTCATTCTGCCAGTCATCATAGGTTTAAAAGATTATTTGGCTGACTAGATGGATAGAGAACTTAGGACATATGTTAGTTGGGGAAATGATTTAGTAATTACCCAGAAAGCACTGGTGCCACACCCCCACGTGCATGCAGAAGCATCACCTGTAGCTCCTGGACCTGTGTCCAAAAGAGGAAACATTTCCATCAAAACAATAGACACTTAAACCATGTAAATGTAGGGTGGAATTGTAGGGTCACTTAGTACGGTGGTCAGTGGTCACTGTACCTACCTGCTGCTTCAGGCGTTTCATTTCAGCAGCTCGAGGGTCCACGTTGACCACAGGTTTGTTTTTTATCTTGCGAGCTCTGTCAGCGTAACGCAATGTGTTGAGGGTCTCCTCAATGTTAGAGTCTGCAGGGCTGACGCACGCTATCATCAAGGTGTGGCTGTTACCTCCCAAAGAATCTGTTGGAGAAAGCAGGAATTTATTATTTAATGGCCACTTTTAAACTTGAAGTCTTAGTATAATATATCTATTCAGTCTCTAAATCTAAGAAACATTCTGGTGTTGAGTTGAATGCCTTAGGGCAGGGGTCAGCAACAGGAGTCCAGCCAGCGATTTTCTTTGGCCCCCCAAAGTCTTGTTTTGGGTCAAAAAAATACTGTAAAATCGTTTAATTTAGCCAATCTGTTCCCAAGTATTCCCACACAAAAAAATAAACATATGTGATTGTGTCTCAATGTAATCAAGGTATGAAATTATTGAATTTGAAAACACAATCTCTTTTTGGGCTTAGTTGTGGTCAATTTGCATTGTACAAATTATTATAATTATGTTCCGGCCCCCCGACCATCCGCTCAGACAAAAATCATCCTGTGGCTGAATCTAGTTGCCTACCCCTGCTTTAGGGTATACAACGTATGCATCTCGACTGTTCTCAGTCATCCGACTACCACAAGGCCTTGTACCACATCTTTATTATGTTAATTGTACTTAAAAGCAAACCCTGAATTGATACCACTAGACCCAGAAAGAACATACAGTGGGGGAAAAAAGTATTTAGTCAGCCACCAATTGTGCAAGTTCTCCCACTTAAAAAGATGAGAGAGGCCTGTAATTTTCATCATAGGTATAAGTCAACTATGACAGACAAATTGAGAAAAAAATATCCAGAAAATCACATTGTAGGATTTTTAATGAATTTATTTGCAAATTATGGTGGAAAATAAGTATTTGGTCACCTACAAACAAGCAAGATTTCTGGCTCTCACAGACCTGTAACAACTTCTTTAAGAGGCTCCTCTGTCCTCCACTCGTTACCTGTATTAATGGCACCTGTTTGAACTTGTTATCAGTATAAAATACACCTGTCCACAACCTCAAACAGTCACACTCCAAACTCCACTATGGCCAAGACCAAAGAGCTGTCAAAGGACACCAGAAACAAAATTGTAGACCTGCACCAGGCTGGGAAGACTGAATCTGCAATAGGTAAGCAGCCTGGTTTGAAGAAATCAACTGTGGGAGCAATTATTAGGAAATGGAAGACATACAAGACCACTGATAATCTCCCTCGATCTGGGGCTCCACGCAAGATCTCACCCCGTGGGGTCAAAATGATCACAAGAACGGTGAGCAAAAATCCCAGAACCACACGGGGGGACCTAGTGAATGACCTGCAGAGAGCTGGGACCAAAGTAACAAAGCCTACCATCAGTAACACACTATGCCGCCAGGGACTCAAATCCTGCAGTGCCAGACGTGTCCCCCTGCTTAAGCCAGTACATGTCCAGGCCTGTCTGAAGTTTGCTAGAGTGCATTTGGATGATCCAGAAGAGGATTGGGAGAATGTCATATGGTCAGATGAAACCAAAATATAACTTTTTGGTAAAAACTCAACTCGTCGTGTTTGGAGGACAAAGAATGCTGAAACTTTTGTTATTGACCTAATACTTATTTTCCACCATAATTTGCAAATAAATTCATTAAAAAACCTACAATGTGATTTTCTGGATATTTTTTTCTCAATTTGTCTGTCATAGTTGAAAATGATGAAAATTACAGGCCTCTCATCTTTTTAAGTGGGAGAACTTGCACAATTGGTGGCTGACTAAATACTTTTTTCCCCCACTGTACATGGGCGGCAATCCCAGGATTTGGACTGCCCAACTACCACATCCCCCTGAACCCAACCATCCCATCGAGCTCTCACCCTGTAGCAGGCGGGTTAGTTTGGAGTCCCTGTAGGGGACAAAGGTGCCTTTCTTGCTCTCGTCACCAAGGGCACTGATCACATTCCCCAGGGAGAGCAGGCCTCGGTTGATGCTGATGCCTGGAGCAGACAGGATGACAGCAGAGAATCAATACGTTTCTGATACTGAACGAATCACACGTTGAATTAGAACTGGAACTGTCATTTAAACATGGAGATTGTTATGGTCAATTATTAGAACAATACTAAAAGGCTCTGCATCGTCAACCCGACGTCTGAAGTGGCCATATAGCATTTACTGCGATGCAGCCGCCGCAGACGTCAGGGCTTTCATACTTCTTGCGCTTAGTGGAGCAGAGATAGTGAAGGAAGTTGTCAAGCAAGTGAGTTTGTGTTTATACACAATGTACTGCCCCCACCTACTGTCAACCAATCATGTCAATGTGGAGCTATAAGGAGCAATCAGCATGATTACAACATTTGAGAGGCCCGCGGTGATGAGGTACAGAGCTCGATTTGACCTCTGCATGCCTCCACAATTGCGTCACACCCTCCATATGAAGCCTCCGACCGCATAAATGGGCTTTAAAGCACACAGCTTACTACCGTTTTCCAAAGGGTCAGCCTCTGGTAGTTGACTCACCTTCCTTCAGACGATCGCCCTCAGCTTTGGTCTTCTTCTGCCTCTCAGAGCCGGCCAGATCCACCAGGTGTAGTTTTGACACCACATTGTCAGATCTACAAACACACATTTAGAAACAGAAGGGAAGAAATGAGGACAAATCAACTTGCAGACCTACTTAAATCAAATTAGTTGAATGAACTACAGTACCAGTCAAAAGTTGAATCATGTAGTAACCAAAAAAGTGTTAAACAAATCAAAATATATTTTCAAATAGCCACCCTTTACCTTAATGACAGCTTTGCACACTCTTGGCATTCTCTCAACCAGCTTCATGAGGTAGTCACCTGGAATGCATTTCAATTAACAGGTGTGCCTTCTTAAAAGTTAATTTGTGGATTTTCTTTCCTTCTTAATGCGTTTGAGCCAATCAGTTGTGTTGTGACAAGGTAGGGGGGTATACAGAAGATAGCACTATTTGATAAAAGACCAAGTCCATTTTATGGCAAGAACAGCTCAAATAAGCAAAGAGAAACGACAGTCCATCATTACTTTAAGACATGAAGGTCAGTCAATCCGGAAAACGTCAACAACTTTGAACGTTTCTTCAAGTGCTGTCGCAAAAACCATCAAGCCCTGTGATGACACTGGCTCTCATGAGGATGGCCACAGGAAAGGAAGACCCAGAGTTACCTCTGCTGCTGAGGATAAGTTCATTAGAGTTACCAGCCTCAGAAATTGCAGCCCAAATAAATGCTTCACAGAGTTCAAGTAACAGACACATCTCAACATCAACTGTTCAGAGGTGACTACGTGAATCAGGCCTTTATGGTCAAATTGCTGCAAAGAAACCACTCCTAAAGGACACCAATAAGAAGAAGAGACTTGCTTGGACCAAGAAACATGAGCAATGGACATTAGACTGGTGGAAATCTGTCCTTTGGTCTGAGGAGTCCAAATTTGAGATGTTTGGTTCCAACCCGTGTCTTTGTGAGACGCAGAGTAGGTGAGCGGATTATCTCCGCATGTGTGGTTCCCACCGTGAAGCATGGAGGTGGTGTGATGGTGCTTTGCTTGTGATTTATCTAGAATTCAAGGCACACTTAACCAGCATGGCTACCACAGCATTCTGCAGCGATACGCCATTCCATCTGGTTAGCGCTTAGTGGGACTATCATTTGTTTTTCAACAGGACAATGACCCAAAAACACCTCCAGGCTGTGTAAGGGCTATTTGACCAAGAAGGAGAGTGATGGAGTGCTGCATCAGATGACCTGGCCTCCACAATCACCCGACCTCAACCCAATTGAGATGGTTTGGGATGAGTTGGACCGCAGAGTGAAGGAAAAGCAGCCAACGAGTGCTCAGCATGTGGGAACTCCTTCAAGACTGTTGGAAAAGCATTCCTCATGAAGCTGGCTGAGAGAATGCCAAGAGTGTACAAAGCTGTCATCAAGGCAAATGGTGGCTATTTTGAAGAATCTCAAATATAAAATATATTTTGATTTGCTTAACACTTTTTTGGTTACTACATGACTCCATATGTGATATTTCATAGTTTTGATGTCTTCACTATTATTCTACAATGTAGAAAATAGTAAAAAATAAAGAAAAACCTTTGAATGAGTAGGTGTGTTCAAACTTTTGACTGCTACTGTATATCAACAGAGATTTGCATATTTTGAAAAATGATGCTGCGCTTTGCGTGTCGGATTCATTTATGAAATGCAACGTTTCCTTGGGATGAAAATAAGAAAGTGAGACAGCTCTATGGGAGAAAGCTAGAGAGAAGACTGACTTATCTGCCCCTCTGCGCTGCTCCAGGGTGATGGTGAAGATGGCATGGGAGCGAGACGAGGCAGCATTCATGGCAGTGGAGCCCACAGTCCGGGCTGAATTCCCCAGCTCCAAGCAGCCCACCATCTCATGGGCAGAGAACACCTCCCTCTCAGTCAGGCCCACGATCTAAGATAGGGAGGCAGAGGGAGAATGGGTTATAACGTACATTCCCCCAAACAGTCCTTTTAAACAAGTGCATTTGACTCGTTTCATAAACATATTTAGCAACATTTTCAACTGTAACAGACAGTTCACACACCTTTATGCCTTCCTTGGGGTCCTCCCGAATGTTGATGGTTGATGGTTTATCTTTGGATACCGATGGACAGAGCAAGTCAAGGATGTCTTCATTGTATATCTATGGCACATAAAATTCAGACAAAACGTTACAGAAAAACATGCCCAGGATACTTCCAGACACAAAGAATTTCGTCAATAATCTGGAATGTACCGGTAACAATGATTGTTTTGTCCATCATTACAGTAAAAACATGCATTGTGTTATGACAGTCATGATGAATAATGCACATAGGTTCACACACACCTCCAGGTAAGACACTGCCAGAGAAAATTCACAATCTGTATGCTTCTCTCTTTCCTGGAAGATCATTCTGACCACCCTGGGGATGACTCCGACGGTGGGCTCATTCTCTTGGGCCGATGTATAGGTTCCTCCCATAGAAAAGGTCTTCCCTGAACCAGTCTGTCCATACGCAAGCACAGTAGCATGATAGCCTGAAAAGAAGAGTAGAAACATTATACATACAGCTTATTGATCCCATTCCATTTTGCCCATAGAACCCTTACTGGTTCTATAGGCAATCCTGTGTGAAAGTAAACGTTTTTTCCCCCGTACCTTTGAAAAGACCACACAACAACGGTGAAACAGCACTGTTGAAGACTTCCTCTTGTTCAGTTGTAGGATCAAATACATAATCGTATGTGAATGCCTTTTCAGTGCCAACAATCACCTGCAAGAGAGAATAATTATAAGAGCCTACAATTGTCCTTATGTATGGAATTGAATCCATATATGATCATGCCAAGTGCTGCAGATGGCTAGTTGCAGAAGCTTTCATAGCATGGCGTCCTTGATCAACCAAACCTAAAACTAGTTGGTTTCACTACAATAATGTTTCCCGTCAACAGAAGCATATCCAAATCTGTACGAACAATACTTACGATTCTTAGGGTTGAATGTGTCCTTCGTTTTCAAATAAGCGTTTAAAACATGGTGTTATCCAGGGTGTCCGGTTTTCCACCTGTGGGCTGCCATTGTAGTCAACTCAAGACCATGCAGTCACGCAAGAGTAAGCTACCACGTCAAATCTCCCACAGGCTGAAGATGGAAGACCCTGGATAAAAACGTGTTTTAAACGCTTATTTGACAGTGAAGGACACATTCAATCTGACGAATCGTAAGTATTGTTCCTAGATATTTTGGTGAAACCGAATAGTTTAGGTTTGGTTGATTAAGGACGCCAGGCTATGGAAGCTTCCGCAACAAGCAATCTGTAAACAATGTCTCATTGCGGGACGAAGCAAGGCCAAGTGTTGTGTTATGTCTTGTAGAATCGATTGTTGACCTGTGGATCCCCTGGCACGAACGTAAGACAGGTCTGGCAACCCTCGTTGATTTCTTTAGGAACCAAAGGTCGACACCGCAGGGCAACTCGCACAGGGATGGACTTATCATCCTCCTTTGTCATGCTGCGAAATCAGGTAATTGACAGATGCATAAAAAGGTTTATGTAACTGACAGGGTAGCCAATATCAAATCAATGTTGTCATCAGAAGGAAAAGGAAGTGTTGAAAAAGTGCAAATCGGAAAACTTTATTTTCTGAAAGCTACTTTTGCCTCATTGTAATTCATTCAAAGCCGCCTGATATCAGAGGGAACAGGATGCGACACGCACTCGTTGGTAGACCGAGCCACCCCGTTAAGTAAACCGGAACTGACTATTTATATTCACTGGTAAACGGCGTGTGAGTGAGCTCTTCATTTATCCACCACCATCTTTGATGATAGTACGGACCGGTGGCTGCTAGCTTCATTGTATTTGGTTACCAAACTAGCTAGCAATCTTTTTTATACCTTTATTTAACCAGGTAAGCCAGTTGAGAACACGTTCTCGTTTACAACTGCGACCTGGCTAAGATAAAGCAAAGTAGTGCGATAAAAACAACAACAGAGGTACATATGGAATAAACTAAACGTACAGTCAATAACACAATAGAAAATATATATATACAGTCTGCAAATGTAGTAAGTCATGGAGTTAGGCAATAAATAGGCCATAGTGCAAAATAATTACAATGTAGTATTAACACTGGAGTGATAGATGTGCAGAAGATGATGTGCAAATAGAGATACTGGGGAGCAAATGAGCCAAATAAATAACAATGTAAATAACAATATGGGGATGAGGTAGTTGGGTGGGCTAATTACAGATGGGCTGTGTACATGTGCAGTGATCGATAAGCTGCTCTGACAACTGATGCTTAAAGTTATTGAGGGAGATAAGTGTCTCCAGCTTCAGAGATTTTTGCAGTTCGTTCAGCTATCTTGCCGATAGCTGAACCATCATTGATCATACCACTTCACTACCATGCCAATCACGTTTAGTAGCCAAGGACGGTCACTTACCTTTTGGGCTGGCGTCAAGACGTTGGTCTTAACCCCTGCAATGAGCTAGCTAACGTTGGCTAAAATGAGTGTGCCTCTAGCTTGCTAATTAATCACCACTAACGTTACTTAAATGTTTCTTAAAACTATATATTTTTTCAGAGGATAGAATAAGAACCGTTTGTAACCACGCATCAGTTGTAGTAAGATATTTTGACGACAACGCTTTTTTTCCTTCAAAAGAACTTCGGTCGGGGCTTGTCATGGACCTCGTCTTGCCCGCCACTTTCAAATATTCAGCTCCGCCTCCACCAACAAGCGTTTTGCGTCGCGAGTGCTGTTGTCATGTGCCTGTTTCATGTTTCAAAATAAAAGTCTTACATATGCTCTATATCTAATCTGTTAAAATTGCAGCTATTTATTTCATTTTAATGAAACAATATATAATGCAGTAATATCTCAAGATATTACAATATTTTAATCTTATTTCATATCCTGTAAGAGATTTGCTCAATGATTCTGCTCAATGTGCTCATCTCTGGAAATAGCGTAGGGGTCTGTTGCTGAAGTCTGCAAAAGGTAATTACTGAAACATGGGATAAATCACAAGAGAGATCAATCACTGGGTCCAAGCCAAGTTTGAACTAAGACATTTATTACACATATATAACAAAAACACATTCCTTATCCCTCTCCCATGTCCCCATCAGTTATTTTTCTTCTTCACAACATGAGCACAGTCATATTTTCCCCTGACCACAGTCAGCTTGACTCCTGGCAGGTCCTGTGTCCTGCCCCCCTGCACCAGTACTACATTGTGCTCTTGGAGGTTGTGTCCCTCCCCGGGGATGAAGACCACTGCCTCCTTGCCATTACTCAGGCGGACTCTGGCACATTTACGGTTGGCCGAGTTTGGCTTCTTGGGTTTTCGGATCATTGTCTTCAGGATCACTGCCTTCAGCTGGGGGCGGCCGAACATGGCGCTGACACTCGGGGGAGGGGGGGAGGGCTTGCCCCGGCGATGCATCTGATTCAGAGTAGCCATAGTTCTGGAGAGGACAGGTCCGGACCATTGGGATACAGACTGAGACACTAGTAGGGTACAAAGAGTGAGTAAGAGATCTGCTCCAACTTCTAATGTCGAGAGTAAACCGTAAACATAGCAGCTGGTGTGGGCCTAAATAAGATGCTGAGGAAATTCTGAAGTAGGGATGGGCAATCATCTTCACAAAGGGGCAGTGAGTGTGCAGGATTTTGCTGCAGCTAAAGCAGTACCATACTTCATTCAACTTAGAAGCTTATCATCATCTGGTCTATAATAAAATATTTTTGTCTAATCAGCTGTGTTTCCGCACACTGGCCCTCATAAGGTAAGATTCCCCACCCCTGCAGGTCTGAAGTCAAGAGCATGCATGTCAACCCTCTGTGTGTGCATGTGTTTTTGGTTTTTACTATCCTTGTGGGGACTAGAAGTCCTCACAAGGATAGTAAAACAAGGAAGATTCAGACAAGTGTAGGCATTTCACTGGTACCCACAAGAAAAAATGCTATTTTAGGGTTTAGGGTTATAAATTAGGTTTAGGGTTTGGGGTTAAGGTTAGCAGGGAAAATAGGATTTTGAATGGGAATCAATTGATCGTTTGGTCCCTACAAGGATAGTAAAACCAACGTGTGTGTGTAATATGACTATATTGTATTATGTGCCATTAAGCAGACGCTTTTATTCAAAGCAACTTACAGTCATGCGTGCCTACATTTTTCGGTGTGTGTGCAAAATAGGCAGGCATAATGAGGTTACCTTGCAGAAGTGAGGTCAACATTGGTCTCAGACTCCCCAATGACGCCATCCCTGCAAAAGAGACAAATATAGGATTTAAGGGAACCTGTACGTGTCACATTGTTAACCTTGCAGCTAACCCTACCCTTTAGTCCAAAGCCATGTTCTACAGTATTTTCAAATCGTACCTGCTGATTTTCAGTTCCTTTCCAAGGACAAACCACCGACGTGTATTTTTAAAGTATATAACAATTTGTATAATAGGAAAAATAAGAAATCATAACCCCTCTCACGCGTATGACCGCAGGAAGTATTTTATATTTTCTTCCGCATTGAGTGCGACGGCTTCCGTTGCAGATTTTATAACAGCACTACTGCCACCTACTGGCTGGTTACCCGAAAATAACAAAACAAACACCATGCGCATGAGTTGGCAAGAGGATAAAACAGTGATTGTGGATCTGATATCGATCATTTTCTGAACAAGCCCCAAGGTATCCTATATTTTAGAACCCTTGAAATAGGGGTGTACTGAAGCTGGAGGGTAAGCCAAAGATGACAGATCATGCGTCTCACTAGTTCCTTATATTTGATAGAATGGTTTGTCTATGTTTATAATTGACAGGAAGAAAATAATCTAACAGTTGAGATCCACCACAGGTAGACCATTGCATAAGGTTATTTTTGTCAGGTGGATATAATTTCTTCACATCCATCTACCAGAAAGAGAGGGGAGGCGTTGTGTGTGTGTGTGTGTGTGTGTGTGTGTGTGTGTGTGTTTGTGTGCGTGCGTGTGCGTGTGAATGTCTATGTGTATGGTCCTGTGTGGAGCAGATTAAGTAGCAAGCGGATGCACAGCGAGGGAGAAGAGAACAGGAGTATGGTGTCAATGACTCATAAGGAGATGGTTACCATGAATGAGGTACTGAATGAACATGAGAATACAGATGTGTGAAAGAGGGAAGATGAAAGGAAAAAGCGAATGGCTTGAATGGATGAGTGGGAGGGAAGGGAGAGGTAGAGAGATAACAAGTGAGAGGGAGGGAGGGAAAAAAACATCTAAAGTCCGTCCTCCTTGTATGTCTTCCTACCCTTTTATCGCTCCTGTTTTTCTCTCATGTAGGTTCAGTCTATTTTCGTCCCTCTTCAATTTTCACAAGGACGGAAGGGCAGGAAGGATAGAATGAGAGAGCATTAGAAATATGAACCTCTTTCATAGAACTCAGCAGCGTTACAAGACCCAGTGGGTGTAAAGGGCCAGGAGGGTGGATGGTATTTGAGAATGAGGGTCATTTAATATAATTCTAGTTAATATATTAAAGGTTGCATCTGCCTTCCCAGAATAGTGGAGGTTGTTATATCAGCAAAGGGGGGACCAGCTCCATATTAATGCCCATGATTTTGGAATGAGATGTTCGACAAGCAGGTGTCCATATACTTTTGGTCATGTAGTGTATGTGTTGTGATAATTGCTTTGTTTGCTCTATAACCTGTTAGTTCATATGACACCGTGACATATAGGCCTAAGGCCGAGACAATAAGAATACACAGTGGCAGAATAGATTCAACTACACCTTTGTTTCATCATATAACCGGAGAGCAACATCTGTCCGGTGAAGTCCACAAAGCATATTGCATATAATAAACAGTTACATGACCTACAGCATGGTCAAGCAAGTTAATGTTTCTGACATTTTCGGACTAGTAAAAAACTATTGATTTAGAGCCACGGAGAGTTACCGCAAGTCACAAATAATAATAATAATATAATAATATGCCATTTAGCAGACGTTTTATCAAAAGCGACTTACAGTCATGCGTGCATACATTTTTTTTTGTGTATGGGTGGTCCCGGGGATCGAACCCACTACCTTGGCGTTACAAGCGCCGTGCTCTACCAGCTGAGCTACAGAGGACCACAAAGAAAACAGCCGCTGCCTCCACTAATCCAGCACCATTTCAACTTCAACATTTGAACATCATCTAATCACCTATGCTTAGTCTAATACAGTGACAACTAAAAGATACCAAAACTATTTTGTCCAATCAACGTAAGCTAAATATGATGTGGCTGTTCATGGTAGCCTTCTGATTTCTCTGTGTGTGTGTGTGTGTGTGTGTGTGTGTGCAAATGCAGGCACATTAAAGCCTGTAACTCAGTATGGGATGCTGATTGTTCCCCATAGTCAAGATTGTGTGACAGGCGTCACAGTGTACGTCAGAAGTGTCCCTGACTCTCAGCACACAATAGAGAGGAGAGAATGAGGGAGAGAAGGAAAGTCAGGTGGACGGGTTATTGACAGAACTACAGTGTCTAATTCCTCAGTAAGGCACAAAGACTTAAAAAATATATATTTTAATTTGCTTTTCATTGGTATCCAAATACATTGGCAACAATAAAAAACACATTCATCATTTCCATCACTTATATTAAATATAATAGCTAATGTACTGGATGTACATTTTCTGATAAAATAAATACATCAGAAAGTGATATAATATATGAATGTAAAGCATATATTATTGGTACACTGGTAATACACACTTTTCACTCCACTTTTAGTCATTTAAAACATGTATTAAATAGATCAGTCAAACACAGTATGCGAAGAGCACATATGCTGAAAGACAACCCATCATGATTTTCAAACCAAAATGCATCCATTCAACAAAATAAGACCAAGTCAATTAACATGTAGAGTGCCTTGCAAAAGTATTTCCTATTTTGTTGCATTACAACCTGTAATTAAATTGATTTTTATTTGGATTTCATGTAATGGACATACACAAAATAGTCCAAATTGGTGAAGTGAAATGAAAAAGGTAACTTGTTTCAAAAAATTCTAAAAAATAAATAACGGAAAAGTGGTGCGAGCATATGTATTCACCCCCTTTGCTATGAAGCCCCTAAATAAGATCTGGTGCAACCAATTACCTTCAGAAGTCACATAATTAGTTAAATAAAGTCCACCTGTGTGTAATCTAAGTGTCACATGATCTGTCACATGATCTCAGTATATATACACCTGTTCTGAAAGGCCCCAGACTCTGCAACACCACTAAGAAAGGGGCACCACCAATAAAGTGGCACCATGAAGACCAAGGAGCTCTCCAAACAGGTCAGGGACAAAGTAGTGGAGAAGTACAGATCAGGGTTGGGTTATAAAAAAATATCTGAAACTTTGAACATCCCACGGAGCACCATTAAATCCATTATTAAAAAATTGAAAGAATATGGCACCACAACAAACCTGCCAAGAGAGGGCCGCCCACCAAAACTCACGGACGAGGCAAGGAGGGCATTAATCAGAGAGGCAACAAAGAGACCAAAGATAACCCTGAAGGAGCTGCAAAGCTCCACAGCGGAGATTGGAGTGTCTGTCCATATGACCACTTTAAGCCGTACAGAGCTGGGCTTTACGGAAGAGTGGCAGGAAAAAAATGCCATTGCTTAAAGAAAAAAATAAGCAAACACGTTTGGTGTTCACCAAAAGGCATGTGGGAGACTCCCCAAACATATGGAAGAAGGTACTCTGGTCAGATTAGACTAAAATTGAGCTTTTTGGCCATCAAGGAAAATGTCTGGCGCAAACCCAACACCTCTCATCACCCCGAGAACACCATCCCCACAGTGAAGCATGGTGGTGGCAGCATCATGCTGTGGGGATGTTTTTCATCGGCAGGGACTGGGTAACTGGTCAGAATTGAAGGAATGATGGATGGCGCTAAATACAGGGAAATACTTGAGGGAAACCTGTTTCTGTCTTCCAGAGATTTGAGACTGGGACGGAGGTTCACCTTCCAGCAGGACAATGACCCTAAGCATACTGCTAAAGCAACACTCGAGTGGTTTAAGGAATGGCCTAGTCAAAGCCCAGACCTCAATCCAATTGAGAATCTGTGGTATGACTTCAAGATTGCTGTACACCAGCGGAATCCATCCAACTTGAAGGAGCTGGAGCAGTTTTGCCTTGAAGAATGGGCAAAAATCCCAGTGGCTAGATGTGCCAAGGTTATGGAGACATACCCCAAGAGACTTGCAGCTGTAATTGCTGCAGAAGGTGGCCCTACAAAGTATTGACTTTGGGGGGGTGAATAGTTATGCACGCTCAAGTTTTCAGTTTTTTTGTCATATTTCTTGTTTGTTTCATAATAAAAAATATTTTGAATCTTCAAAGTGGTAGGCATGTTATGTAAATCAAATGAATCAAACCCCCCAAAAAATCCATTTTAATTCCAGGTTGTAAGGCAACAAAATTGGAAAAATGCAGAGGGGGGTGAATACTTTCGCAAGCCACTGTAGATCAGTGTACAAAACAAGCTCTGTATCTTTATACATAAAACCAAACAAAATTGTTGTTGTGATTTGTACCATGTGATCTTTTGTGCTCAAATAAGCCTTCTTCCTCACTATGAGTGAATATAAATATGGCACTTTAAATTACCTCTTATGAGGTTACTTAGTAATAAAATCAATTAAAAGTAATGCATGTACAACTGAATCATCAGAAAACAGTATTATACAATATTGGATTTTAAGTATCCTAAATATAGATAGGAGAATATACATTTTCACTTTTCTGAATATTTTGTATACATTTACAGGAAATATTTTGTATACATTTACAGGAAAAGCTGCATCTTAAAATATGACAATATGCCATACTGAATGAAGTAAGTCACAGACTTATTTTAAAACGTAGGGTCACGCAGGCTTCCATCTGAAATGAAAGAAAACAACAGAGAAGAGTTAGTTAATTTAGTTCCGCAACCAGTATTATACACACTGAATTCTTAGTAGTCTCATGCATCTTATACTGTAAAATGGAAATAATTGATGAGACAAATACATTTTTTTTATGTGCCAGTGGTAATATAGCCTGCTGTCTTATATTAACATATGAGCATGACAAAAATGGCCCCTTACCTTGGTGAAAGCTTTGTGAATGCATGGTTGAGTGGGAGTTGATACAACTCAGGTTGTTACCCCAACACGGGGTGGAAGAGGCATCTGCATCAAACAGAGGTTCCATGGCCCCCAGTTCCTCCAGAAGGGACTGGGCATGGGGCAAACTAATGGTGGGGGCCGGATGGACCAAGGCAGAGGCACACTCCTGGAAGGCTGTGAGAGCGATGGCTGATGATGGTAGCGACGATGGAGGCCCCTCTGACACCTCCATATCCATCACCCTGATGACCATCATAGCTCCACCCACTGCCATGCAGTTACACTGCGTCGATTGGACGCTACAGAAATGTCTTACACCGATTGAAGATTCACCCTCGATGAGGCTGGGGTTACATCTGCTCACTGAAGTGAGTGGCGAGCAAGAGGAGGAGGAGTTAAAAGAGGAGGATGAGGGGGAAGAGGGAGAAGAGGAACATGAAGAGCGGGTCAAAGGGAAAGATGAGAGCTCCTCAATTAGGCTCTCGAGTAACAGACTCTCCTCATACAGAGAGATATCCTCTCGGCTTAGGGGCGGGTCTAGCCCCCTCCATGGCTGGCACTCACCTCCACAAGGAGGAGAGGAACTCTGGGATGTGGCCTGAAGGCCGGGTGAAGTCAAGGTGGATGGGGTCACTCTGGGGAGAAGCGGGTCACAGCAAAATCCCTCAGCTAAAGAGCTAATATATTTAGCCAAGAGAGAAATGTCCTCATTCTCTCTCTCCTGCTCTCTATCTATGGAGAGGAAGGAGCAGGGCGGGTGTGTGGGTGATGCCTCTGGGGTAAGGAGGAGCTCATTCAGAGGGCCATGGAAGGGCCTGTGGGGAATATCCACATACAAGGGCCCCATAATCTGTGGCAGGCCCATGATGGAGCATTCATCTCCCCCAAAACTATTGGTGGTGGGGGGCAGCTTTCTATGGGGCTCTGCTGGGAACAACAGCTCAGGATGATCAGAGGAGAAAGCCTGGGAGAAGGCTGGTGCTCTGTGTGCTGAGGCAATAATTGGGCATGACACAGCAGCATTGATGTGAACTAAATTGAGTTGCAGTTGCTCCCCAAAAGGAAAACCGCCACTTACAAGATGAGGGGTATACGGGGGAGTGCATGCAAACTCCCCCATCTGTTGAGGGTGGGGCATAGTAAGAGGGTCAAGGGGCTTGGTGAGGGAGGAGGGGAGGGGGTCTGAAATATTGGTTAGGGATTGAGAGGTTATTCTCTGAGACAGAATATCAGACTCCGGGTCAGTCAGTGAGGCAGGAGGGTCCACAGTGGTTGGTCCAACAGAGAGATGGCTGGACTTTGGTTTCCACTGGTGTTGTCCTCCATGTGTCTCGGGGAAGTTCTCCTCATCCAGAGATGACAGGCTGGACTGAGGACCATAACCAACTGGCTGCATGGGCTCCTCACAAGCGCTCACACCAGACATGGCAGTGCTGAAGTCTAAGGAGTGGGCAGACAGGCCACTGCTGCTGGGGGTGAAGACCTGGTCTGGACTGGACAGGCTCTCACCAGAACCCAAATACCCAGGGAACTGGTTCTGCTCCAAACACAGCTGCTGGCGTATTGACCACGCCTCTGACTCACTGAGAGAGAGAGAAAGAGAGACAGAGGAAAAGAGACAATCATTATTTGGATCTCACAGATATTGTATAGAGGCTATTATTAAAGGTTGGAGATTAAACAAATGGCATATGACAAGTGTAGCTGTGGTACCTGATGATGTAGTTGTGGCAGCTGATGGGGTGTTCTCCGTTGTTCAGCTGGAGGACCATATAGAGCCAGACCCAGGAGTGGTCTGCTGCTTCCACCTGCAATACCATCTCCACCTGCCGCTCCCCTCCTTCATTTACTGCAGAGACAGACACATTCCCATGTTCACATCTGCTCACTGGTCTGTCTTCCTCATGTGTTTCTATTATTGGTTGTGTTGGAGTGTATTTTAAGTGGCTGTGGTGCCATAGTCTGGTTGAGTAGTTGTGTTATTGTGGGTGTACTCACATAGGATATGGTGCTGTTCAGAGGCATGGGAGAGATCCCTGGGATGAACCAGGCTGTACCAGGAGCGAGAGCGTAGAGACTCCACATCATAGCCCAGGTACACACTCACACTGGAGGGAAAAGGGAAGACAGAGTTGATAACATACCCCCTGTTCTCATGCCTATACTCAATTAAAAGTGTTAGAATGAACCAGGCTCATTCTTACCTGTCCTGCGCGCCCCAAAGCCTCATGTCCCTGTGGTGTTGAGAGTGGAAACAAGCTAGCAGGGAGGTGTGCTCAGGGGGTGGGTTAAGGGGGGCACTCTTGGCGATTGTGAGGTTAGACATTTTTGTCTTCAGAGGGGTACAGAAACACACCCATACTGGGTTGGAGGTCCAGTAATTAGAGACAGGGCAAGGTGGGGTGAGGCAGCGAGCTCTGACCAGCATCAACTTGTTCCTTGCACCTTGCCGCTGGATGAACTTTGTAGTATTGAAGCGACATCGAAATAACCTGTCTGGAGGAGGACAAAACAGAGATGTAAATTGATGTAGATTGATGTAATCTGTTGTAATTATAAGAACGGGTATACATTTGAGTAATGAAAGTCAGCACAGTAATGAGAGATGTCTACCTGTATCAGTAGTGGTTATTGGTAGACCTGCAATGTTGCTCCTCATGATAAAGTGGTCCATAGGATGGATGATATCATACACACTGTCACTCTGGGCAACCAGGTCCACCTGAATGAGAAAACCAAGTTGAGTGACATTGAATGAGACTTTTATAGGCTTATATACAAATACTTTCAGTGTATGGTATGTCAAAGTAACAACAGCCACCAGTTTGTAGCTTAGGCTACTCACCATACAATGTCCGAGGTTGTCGGCGACGTTGTCTGATAGATACAGAAGTTTTCCGTCGCTTGTTAGGAGTAGCATGAAACCTGACAATTCGTGCATCAACCCCGAAAGCTCGTGAAAATACATGAAAGTCCATGGTCTCGTCTTGAAGAGCGTCTGTTTTTGGCAGCGAAAAGAAGAGGTCTAACATTAGTTGTGAATATCTTCAATGAGACAAAAAAGCACAGAAGACATTCTAGTATTTGCATTTGATTCAATGGGGATGGTGTTCATACTAAAATATTACGCCTCAAACAGGTTGGAGTCACGAGCACTCTTTACTCACTGCAACAGACTACCATGGACAGCGCCAAACACATTCAGCACGTTGGACAGCGAAAGACTTGTAGGGTCATTATGTAAAAAATCGAACTATAGCCAAATAATAAAATAATAGATCAACTTCTAAATTACAGTGCATGATATGCTGCAGTAGTTGTCAAACATGCAAGTTAAACTGAAGTGCACCTGGTGACAAAAACCACAAGAGCAAAAGCAAGCTTTCTCTATTAGCCTAATCACACTTAATGTGAACCTACCTTGAGCGAAGAATACAGACTTTCTGGTGTACATGCAGGCAAGTGACATGATGTGTAGGTAGGAGAGTCGAGCTTTGTCCGTATCGGAGATGGGCAACAGTTCCTTCAGGTTCCGAATCTCTGCGTTGATTTGGTCCCTCCGAGCCTTCGATGCTCCTTTTGTGGACCGATTCATTGCCGCGTGCCTGTCTGAAACAGGTGTCCGTTCAGAGTTTGGAAGGTTTGTAGAAGACGGGGTGTTGTTCTGTCTCTCTACTTCATTAGAACGTTATAAATTGACAACAGAATTGTTAAAATGAGAATGACTAGTTTAACAGATGCGTTTGTATTGTCAATTAATTGTAATTTGTCTCTATCCGTTTTTATTATCCAGTTGCTCTACCCGGGGGCAGACGGCTGTTAGGGTAACAGTCTATGTTGACTAGTTGTGTCGTGATTATAAAGTCCATGAACGAGGATATTCTTTATATAGGCTGATGTTGGGGTGGAGAGGTGGTTGAGCAACCATAAGTATGAATAGAATTTGAAAGGAGATGGGGAGGGGTTGATTAGCATTGAGGACTGCATGCTCTCTCTGTTTCTCTCGCTCGCTGTCTCTCGCTCGCTCTCTCGCTCTCTCTCTCTCTCTCTCTCTTGCTCTATCAAGTGTCATAGAAAGCATCCATCTGTATATTTCAGCATGTTTTCTGCATGTGTGTACTGTGAGTGAGTGAGAGAGAGAGAGAGAGAGTGAGAGAGTGCGTGTGTGTGTTGACAAAAGCACAGGCACATAAGTGTTGTTTCCAGGTGAACTAAGCAAACACCTACACATTCCTCCTCCCTTCTCTCTCTGGCAAGAATTCAGCCTTGTACATGTCCCTTGCTTTATTCTTGCCTTGGTTGTTCAGTTTATTTTTAGAACATTGATTTGAGTAGAATGTTTTGATTGTAATGATACTCTATTTTTAGCTACCTCACTTTTCATACTGAGGTTGAGGTCAGCACCAATTACAGCTAAATTACAAAGGGTCAAGACTACATTTGTTCATAGAGTTGGAGTTACAGTACATTAGAGTGAAGATAATATATATCAGGTGTTGAAGTCAAACAGTATACTCTATTTAGAAATGTGGTATACTGTTTAACTGCAACCACAAATGAGACTACAGCCACCCACTTTTTCGTTACTGATTGCCTTACTCAACATTGAAGTGTCATCGTCATGTACTGTATGTCTGACCAACTGGATTCTCCTGTAATTATAAAAACATTAATAATCAGATAACGTCAGATAGATTGTGATTTTATTGGCTTCCGTTTGGTCCGGGGCCATGGGACACAGTGGGAACTACTGTTTGACATCCTGAGCACCCTGTGGAAATTTATGTTTTTATCGTGGGTGGTGTGGCCATCTGTTGAAACCACAATGGTGTTGAGTTATGGAGCATCTATATTCACTGATGGTGCAGGGCTTTGATTCACCCAACTCTTTAATTGTTATTTTTGCTATTTTGTATATAGAGACATTTCCCCATGTTATAGCATCTTTAGAGGTGTTGGCAAGTTTTTCTTTCTTTAACTCAGCATTTATTTCCTTCTCTTTCTGTATTCATTCATCAAGCACAAGGTACTTGTCACTTGCTTGTCTCCATCTTTGTGCCCATGGCAACAATACTGTGGTTACTTAGTAACCACATTGGTCCACAAATAGAGATGTGAGGAAAGGAATTATTCTCAAAGACACCATTTAAGCCGGCAGGTGATAACCACAATTTATTAGTTACAGGCGGATTACAGATAAGAGCAAGTATGTTGTCAGAGATGTAAAATACGATTTTTCAATATCTAATGCAATTTAATGTAGAGCAATATGATTACATGGACCACTGTCATCTCTTCATCATAAGTTCAGTTTAGGAAGAGCACAGTGTGATCTTTCCAGTAGAGAGAAATGATGTGTAACATGACCAAACATTTTATTCCTCTGTAGAGTTTTATCAGGTAATGGTGGCACTTTTGGCTCTAGTCATGATATGATTACATTTTCTCTAATGATATTACATTTTTTATGTACAAGCTAAATGAAAATAAACATAAAATCCTTCTTTCACTCATACTGTCCTACACTTTTTAAATGTGAATAGAACGATTATTCATATCCTTTTTCATGCATTTGTTAATTTATGTCTCTCCCTTCTCTTAATTGACTGATGATGACTAGGGACTCTTGAGGGGTGGGGAGAAAATTGCTCTCCACCTGACCCAGCTCAATTTCCTCCTCTCTGTACAGAAAATATAAAAATATATTTATTCACAGGAATAAATAAGCCTAGAAACCATTTCACGTCGGCATAGGTTAATAAAATATGTTGGTGGTGAAGCTACAGTATATAATTGGAATATGTTGTGAGGATTTAGCCATTTATTGTAAATATGTTATTATTATGCTCTATATACAAATGAGTCATTGTTCAGTGTCAACACGATTAATAATAACCTTTTAAGTCCTCTCTGGTAGGCTAATTCATGTTCAGACAAAATCCTAATGTACATTCATACTTGCAGAAATAGCTCAGTTGGGAGAGCGTTAGACTGAAGATCCAAAGGTCCCTGGTTCCATCCCGGGTTTCGGCATTTGAGTGTGATTTGACTGCAAGGAGCATACCCACATCTTTGTTTGATGGCCTTAATCTTGCCTCCTGTAGCTCAGTTGGTAGAGCATGGCGCTTGCAACGCCAGGGTTGTGGGTTCGATTCCCACGGGGGGCCAGTATAAAAAATGTATACACTCACTAACTGTAAGTCGCTCTGGATAAGAGTGTCTGCTAAAATGACTAAAATGTAAAATACTCTCCATCTACCTCAGACTGAGCCTGCTATGTGACCCGTGTCGCCCATGCCATGGCACCCTGTGATGAAATCCATCCAATCCCAGGTGTGCCCTGACAACATTACCCCCTGTACTACCCACCACCCACACCCATCTGCTTCTCCTGCCCACCTACATACCGTCTGTGCCTGGACTACCTGGCTCTCAGCTCCTACACTGGCGATGCCACAGAGGAATGCCCAACACTCTGGTACAAACATACCAAAATATACTCACACATTATCTCACATGCGTATTCTCATATTCTTATATTTTCCTATTTCTTATTGTTGTTGCATTGTCGAGAAGGAACCTGCAAGTAACCAATTTTGTTGGACGGTGTATACCATACAGTATGTATCCTATACATACAGTGAGGGAAAAATGTATTTGATCCCCTGCTGATTTTGTACGTTTGCCCACTGACAAAGAAATGATCCGTTTATAATTTTAATGGTAGGTTTATTTGAACAGTGAGAGACAGAATAACAACAAAAAAATCCAGAAAAACGCATGTCAAAAATGTTATAAATTGATTTGCATTTTAATGAGGGAAATAAGTATTTGACCCCCTCTCAATCAGAAAGATTTCTGGCTCCCAGGTGCCTTTTATACAGGTAATGAGCTGAGATTAGGAGCACACTCTTAAAGGGAGTGCTCCTAATCTCAGCTTGTTACCTGTATAAAAGACACCTGTCCACAGAAGCGATCAATCAATCAGATTCCAAACTCTCCACCATGGCCAAGACCAAAGAGCTCTCCAAGGATGTCAGGGACAATATTGTAGACATACACAAGGCTGGAATGGGCTACAAGACCATCGCCAAGCAGCTTGGTGAGAAGGTGACAACAGTTGGTGCGATTATTCGCAAATGGAAGAAACACAAAATAACTGTCAATCTCAAATGGCGCCGGAGAAGATGGCTGCCGTTTTACAGCCCTCTAACCAATTGAACTATTATGTGTGTTTTTCCACATTATTTGTAATTTATTTTGTACATAATGTTTCTGCCATCGTCTCTTATAACCAAAAAGAGCTTCTGGATATCAGGACAGCGATTACTCACCTTGTATTGGACGAGGCGGCCGCGAAGGATATCCTACAGACACCCGACAAGGACCAAATCCCCGTCATTCGCATGAGGAAGAGACGGAGATATCGTGGACGTAGGTCGGGGTGCCTTGTAAGGATCTGACGGCGAGCGAGTAAACTGCCGCTCCCATCAATCCTATTAGCCAATCTTCAATCATTTGAGAATAAATTGGATGATTTAAGATTACGGTTATCCTACCAACGGGACATTAAAAAATGTAATATCTTATGTTTCACCGAGTCGTGGCTGAACGATGACATGGACAACATACAGCTAGCGGGCTATACGCTACATCGGCAGGATAGAACGGCTGACTCCGGTAAGACAAGGGGTGGCGGTCTTTGTATATTTGTAAACAACAGCTGGTGCACAAAATCAAATACTAAGGAAGTCTCGAGGTTTTGCTCGCCTGAGGTAGAGTATCTTATGATAAGCTGTAGACCACACTATTTACCAAGAGAGTTTTCATCTATATTTTTCATAGCTGTCTATTTACCACCACAAACCAATGCTGGCATTAAGATTGCACTGAATGAGCTGTATAAGGCCATAAGTCAACAGGAAAACGCTCATCCAGAGGCAGCGCTCCTAGTGGCCGGGGACTTTAATGCAGGGAAACTTAAATCCGTTCTACCTAATTTCTACCAGCATGTTAAATGTGCAACCAGAGGAAAAAAAAACTCTAGACCACCTTTACTCCACACACAGAGACGCATACAAAGCTCGCCCTCCATTTGGCAAATCTGACTATAACTCTATCCTCCTGATTCCTGCTTATAAGCAAAAGCTAAAGCAGGAAGCCCCAGTGACTCGGTTAATAAAAAAGTGGTCAGATGACGCAGATGCTAAGCTACAGGACTGTTTTGCTAGCACAGACTGTAACATGTTCCGGGATTCTTCAGATAGCATTGAGGAGTACACCACATCAGTCACTGGCTTCATCAATAAGTGCATCGATGATGTCATCCCCACAGTGACCGTACGTACATACCCCAACCAGAAGCCATGGATTACAGGAAACATCCGCACTGAGCTAAAGGGTAGAGCTGCCGCTTTCAAGGAGCGGGACTCTAACCCGGACGCTTATAAGAAATCCCGCTATGCCCTCCGACGAACCATCAAACAGGCAAAGAGTCAATACAGGACTAAGATTGAATCGTACTACACAGGCTCTGACGCTCGTCGGATGTGGCAGGGCTTGAAAACTATTACAGACTACAAAGGGAAGCACAGC